GATGATAGATAGATAGATGATAGATAGATAGATAGATAGATAGATAGATATAAGTAAAGAAAAAATGAAACCTTCTCATAAGCTCTTACATTACAACATGTCCATCTCTCAGAGAGGCAACTTCCTGCACCTGCCCCTCATCCATAGAAAATGACATAAAGCTACTTTCAAGGACAACCAGAAGACTGAAAATGTGTTATGATTTTATTATTGCAAATTTTTAATCCTGAATATGATCTTGACAGATGTAAGACTACATGTGGTAGTTTAAAGGGCTTTTTGGTATGAAAATATTTTTCATTTTGCATTTCAAGAGCATTCTCTGCCAGACTCTGCTAATCTAGTTTCCATGTTTTACAAAACAGTTGCCATTTGGTTGTGTCAGACTTTGTATACCAGTTGAATATGAAGAATGTAATTTTCTGTATGTGTTTGTTAGACTTTTCCTAAAGGAGCATCAAGATCTGACCTTATGTATCAGGATGTCTTCAAGTCAGTTTTTGCGAAACTATCGAATGCTGCTCTTGGTGAATAGCAGCAGTGATGATAACGATAAGGCCAGTTGTTATTTTCTTGTAAATAGGTAAATGTCATTCAATACATATGTCTCCTGATATGGCTCTTGCACAAATCAGCATTAAAATTACTTTGGAGAGCTTTCAGAATTCATGCATTTTGATTCAATCATTATCTCATCCTCGGTTTTCTGGAAATGCGAAATTGACCCCTGATTTAGACACTGAAGTTTTTCTATGATGCGGAATTGTAAGTAAAAGATTAATATTTGAAAGTATATGTTATCTCAGTTCTGACTACCCTAATAAAACAAAAGTAAATAATGCTTTGAAGACTTACAAATTAAGGACGACAACGGAAGCATCTTGCCACATTCTTTTCCACTTTTTTTAATTGATCAAAATAAATCTTGTCCCCTCATCTCCATCTTCTTGTAAGATACACCCAGAGTTAGTGTGGCTCCTTGGACTATGAACAATACCTTTCCTCTACTGAGGTTGACTTCAAAAGTGAAACACCAAAAAGCAAACAGACAAAAATCTTAAAACCACTGGGCATTTCTCAATGTTTCCTCTCCAGCTCAGTTATTTATCTATGAATTCTAGACATGTAAGCCCCAAATCATAAGAAGCAAACAAGACAAGGAAATAAATATTTCAATAGGAAAAAGACAACACTGCCTTAAAGTAAGAACCCCTCCCCCAAACAGAACTTGGAAATGTCATGTATCTGATAAGGTTTACAGAATGGGTTATATTAACTAGACATTTTTATTTAGATTAGCCTGGAGATATAATTAACAATGGGATGATGGGAATACTGTGTAACTTGTAAGTGTGATCTTGGATAAATCATACTAATTAATTGAACTGAAAGGAGTCTTTTTTTTTTAAAGGCACTTTTGCAAAGTGATGCCAAAGGCATCATTTAAAGAAATGTGTTTATGATAAACCCTTACTTCCCTTGAGAACTGCCAGCTTAGAGATGTTGTCATTAATAAGACACTTAAGATGTGTGTACATGCATAGTGTGTGTGTGTGTGCATGCTTGTACATGCTGTGTAGCTGTGTGTGTGCACATCGCATGTGTGTGCGTGTTCATGGTGTGTATGTGTGTGTGCATGTGTGCATGGTGTATATGTGCATGTTGTGTGTTCATGATGTGTGTGTGTGTATAATATAGTCGTGAGCTCAATTCTTCTATCAGCATCCCAAATTTTATGTCCTTATATCATCATTTCTCTGGCTTATTGTAGAAATGTCTTCAGTGTTTCTCACTCCCCATCCCTTCCTCCTCCAATCCATCCCGTTTCTCTCCTATTTTGATTGTATCTGATTTAAATGTCACAACATTTCCTGCCTTTTCCAGTCAGAGGATTTCTTTCCCCCTCTGAATTCCTGTAGGTTTTTGCACTTCATCAGCCATCACTTTCTGCCTTATAGTTTACATTTGGTCATATCTCCCTAAATGCCCGTATCTGCTTGTCTTGGGAACTATCTTCTTTTCTCTTATTGTTTCCTTTGTTTAGGGTTTTGTACAGCATGTCGTGTGTAACTGGCGATCATAGGAACTTACTAAAAGCAATGTTTCCTGAATGTATGAAGCTTGAAGAAAGATTGCTAGTGTGTCTTCAGTACCCAACACTACTTTAGAATCATTGGTCTGGAGTTTATAAACCTCCTTGGTCCGGTATAGCCTTCATTTCTATGCTTGCCTATCACAGAACACTGCCCATATGGTGTGTTGCTGCCAACGAGCTTCCTCATTTCTTTTGTACACGTTCCAGTTTCCTCGCCATTTTGCCTATGCTAATTTCTCCACCTGGTGAAAGTTTTCATTCCACCTGAAATTTGTTCCACTCACTGTACCTACTTGAGGAAATAGGACTTCCTTTTTGATCTCTGTTTAATCTCTTTAATCCCATGGAACTTTCTTTGGTTCCCTGGGTTGGACATTTCCTTTTCTTCTTTTGAAATAACAGGGCAGCAATGTGCTGCACTATCCCCCATTATTTTAAGTTGTAAATGTTTGTGGACTTCCTCTTGGTTTTAGCCATTTATCAAGCGTTCACTGTGTTCATGCTCAGAGTCAGCATTCATTATGTGGCATCTACATATCATCTATTCATATGTACATGCGTGTTCACCATCATGAAGCAATGCATTATCACATAACCTGTTTCCACATTCACCCAGTGGTCAAGATTAGAACATAACCATATTAGCTAATTTAATGTCAAGTTGGAGAAGATGAATATGACTATGTTCACCACATGGAAAATAGCGAACATAATAACATTGTCACATTACATTAGTATGGAAATGTAGTGTGCCAAA